TTTTTTTTTCAGTTCATACTATTTGTTCTTGTAAATAGATAATACATTTATTCATATCATAGTTTTTCACCCAGTAAATTGTACAATTCTGGAAGTAAAAATGAAAACAAAAACATTGTAATTCACAATCTTTCTTTGAATAATAGAGTTTGTGATAACTTGTTTGTGCTGATTTTTAAAAAAAACATTTACTTACACTATACCATCGTATCATGGATAAAAATGTTTTTTGTGGGAGGAAAATGTTCCTGTTAAATACTTTTTTTGTATTGTTTGTAAATCTATTGAAGTTGTTTTATTAGATTACATTCTGGGCCTTAATTGCTGTAACTGTAATGAAATTCGAAGCAGTATACTAAAAATATATATGCATTTTTTTGTTTCCCTTGCTTTAACACTTTATAATAATACCTATTAAAAATCGTATTGTACTACAAATTGAAGAGTGAATATAATATAATGGGAAAAACTATGTTCTCTTCATTAGTGAATTCACACTGCCCTACAATAGCATTACTGTGAAGTCTCAGGTTCAAGTATACTTGACATGAAAACAAAAGAACTTATGTAAAGCATACCCTATTTAAAAATTATGTAGGTCATTGGAAAATCACTTTAAAATGTGTTTTAATATCAAACTCATTTGTTTGTTTTTTAACTAATTGATGATAATTTAGGGTCTTTGAAATTAACATTTTCCAACAGTTAATCAGCACAAATGTACCCTCTTTTTGTCTTTCTATGATGACAATGATGATGAGTCTGTCTTTTTTGTTAGCAGTTTCCATTTTCAGCTAAAGAATAGAATGGGAATAAATATTGAATTTGATTGGTTTTTTTTCCTAATTTTTTTGCCTAGTAAGATTGGTTTTTACTCTTTGTCTCGATGACATCAATTCAAAAAAACTGACAGACTATTGAAAGTGATCAAAAATGTCAATGTGCAAAATTCTTGTCAAGAGTTGAGCAATGACAGTTTCCCTGTAAATAATACATGGGAGGCTCTTTAAATAAATAAAATTATTTATTAGCTGTAACTTTCCATTCAAGTTAGCTTAGATCTGGGTTTTTTTAAAGACAAATTTATCTCTAGCCAATATTTTATAAGTGTAATAAGTATGTTAATCTTATTTGAAGTTATCCTATAGTATTAATATAGGCATTGAAAAGTAACTGGATTTTCCTCATTAAAATTATATGATTTAGCAAATATTATTATTCAATTTTTGGGATATTGTTTCAGATATGTGGTTAATATAGTACTACATAGAGATTGCGAAGATTTGATATCCATACCACTTTTGTACTTCAGAAATTTATTTTTTTTAAATATAATCATCTCAAAGACAGCAATCCATAAATACAATTGATTTACCGCTATAAGTATGAGCTAAATGAACAATTTCAAACTTATAAAATATGAAAATCTTTCAAAATAATAAAACAAACATTGCATTTTAAAATAAACTTTTACTTTTATTAATTGAAACAGAATCAATTCAAATTCAATACGCTTAAGCTGAAACTTAAAACCAAAATGAAGTAATGCATTTACATCAGTTAATTTAACAAAAATGCCCAAATATGTTAAATAGCAAAAGACAACAGTACATTTTGTTCATGGTTATAACGACAATGAACTTAGGCTAATCATCTTCATAATTTTTTTTAAATAATCAAATCTGATTTTACCATGAAAAGTTGGTATGATTCTGATACTTTAAAAGAAATGTGTACATGACAGCAGAAAACATTAAAATTTGTTTTTACAGAAACATAAGACATGTTACTTTGTATTTGGGATGCTGCATCTTCACAATTTCACTAAGTACGCTATTAATTAACATCAATATTTTCATATTATCAAACACAGATATATAATAAACTATGTTAGACATCTATTATGGTACATTATCTGTAATGTGTGAATAAACTGATAGTGGGAAAAGTTAATTAATTCACAAAATAAATTTACTTTGAAAAATATTAATAAAATATGAGACGAGAAGAAAGAAATACAATAAAATTTAATATTTTAAAAATTCTTATCACAGGTACTTGAGCCATGAATGAGTAGGTCAGAAACCATCTCAATAAATTTCTTCTGGTTCCATGAGGAAATTTAACGTGAAGAATAAACTTTGGACCATTTGAAAATATAAAATATAATGGTGGTGACACAACCAATAGGCCTATACAGTTTTAAATTTTCACGGGAACTGAAATCCAACAAATTTAAATATTTTGGTGTTTTTTTTGCTTCAAAATCACCCTCCGAATTTAAAGGCAATAAAACAAATTCAGAACAAAGTAACTATATTACAGTTTATCACAGATTAGCCACAGGCACTGTCAGTATTACATGACAATTAAAACACAATATATTAATCAGTAACTTTAACGAAGAAATAATAACACATTTTATTATAAAACATGATTTAGCATATTATTTGCATTTTTTTGCAACAAAAAAGAATAGTAATTAATTGCAAAAATAGAAAGCACATTGCTAAAAAAAAGAGCATTTATAAATGTAATTTCATCTTTAAAAACACAAATTTTAATATAAAAGAAATATATTTATTTTGAATGAAAAAAGAACATGAGCATCTCTATTTCTTGTGAAGATGCTTGACTTTCTGCTTCTTGGAAAGCCCCAGGCGAATGGGTCGATTACACTGACTTGAATGAGGTATTGATATCAATGTGCTTAGTGCCGAATTTTCTATAAAAAAAAATCTGTTTTTTTAATATGAAATTAAATGTTATATAATACGGGATGAGGGTTAATACAAAAAATATAGGATTCAAACTACATGTATTCAACAAAAGATAGAATATTTAAAAAGAAAAAGCTCAATACATTATATCATGATTAAAAATCCAAACATGTCTGGTGTTATGGACCTTCAAAACAAAGCTGAACAGTTAGCTAATTCTAATCAGGCATATTCGTTAAATGCACCAATGATTAAATCAGTATGTAATGTCCTGTAATATTTCTAATTTTAGGAAATTTGATCTTTTTATTAATTAACTATGCGTATGATATATTCTTCTGATAATACCTGGTGAGGTTACTGCTAAAGTATATCCACTTGAGTTCTTCCTGTTATTCCAAAGAAAGGCTCCATGGGTCTGCAACTCACAGTCTACGTAAACCAAAAGAAATTTATTAAGTTTCATGCTTTAATTTATTTTTTTAATAGGAATATGACTATACTGAATAGCTGTTATGTTATTTGTACCAGTATGAAAAGAGGCATAAATAGAATTATTTCTAGATAATAAAATGTTAATAATAATAAATTAATCTAGTGAAAAAACAAAATTAAATTTAAATATGGCATGAATTTTAAATGTTATGACAATATAAAAACAATGAAACTAACTTTATAGCATCCAATTGTTAACATTTGCCTCATCCTTTCCCACACATTGCTGCATAATGAATTTATTTTTTAAATTGTTAATCACTTACAAATTACCTGTTAAATTTTGACTTTGACCAATGTACATTGAAGTTTCTCTAACACTGATATGATCATTAAAACAACATTCTGGAACTCTGTGCTCTTCATCTAAATCATCTTCAGGATCAGGTGTACTATATGGTTTGATCATATTGGGACCATGGTTGGAATTCAAGAAGGATTTATCTGTTACCAGAATACTACCAGAATTCTTTTGATTTAAAGTGTGGCATGCTTTTATTTCTTGTTTGTCCACATTTTTATCATGAACAACAACTGGGGGTGACTTATCAAATTGTCTTTGTCTGACATCTACTTCATTATCATTTTTTTCACTATAATTTTCTTCAATTTTGCAGTATGTACTATTTATCTTCTGTTTTATTTCAGAAGAATAATGACTAGTGTATTGCCACAGATTATCTGCCTTTAATCCCTTTCCATTTATATGGTCTTGTTCCGGCACAAGTTGATTATCTTTGTGGCATTTATTAGTTTTGGTGAAAGCCGACAGTGCATCTTCTCTGTGGTCCAAATTGAAGTCATTCTGTAGCTCTGCAGAGTCCAGTTTGGAAGAGGCTGGTAATTCAATACATTTTTCTTCTGAATATTTTGGAGAGTTATGTTCTTCCTCATTCATTAAAGTAAAACTGGGCTCTTCCAGTTTAATAGTATGTTTAATGGAAATGAGGTTGAATTCCTCAAATGTATTTTCTTGTTTTTCAGGGAGGGACAAAGGTCCCAAATTTTTATCTCCGATTTTTTTAACATTAACCTTTTCTGATGCTTCTAAGTCTAAGGGTACAAGGCATTCCTGCTGTATGTGTGTTTTTGGGTTTGAAAAGATCACCTCATCTGATGTTTCATCAATTATTGGCAGTGTGTGAACTTTTCGCCTCCTTGTTTCATGAAAAAACTCAAAATTATCAGCAGTAGTCACACCATGCCAAGGAAGAGGGATATACCCAGATACCTCTGTAATGAGTTTTAATTTTTTAAGTCCATGAGAGTGATCCAAGCTTTTGTTATTTGGGTGTGAAATAACTTCATTTAAAGTGCAATACTGGACCTCTAGACTACTTTGAGGCCTTATGAAATGATCAGATCGATTCATAAATAACATTGGCTCTCTTATTTCTTCAATCATTTTTTTATTTGAAGTTGATTGTGATGAATCAAATACTAGAGCAGAAGAGTTTGTCCAAGAAAATGCAGGTTTATTGAAAGATTCACTAGATCTTAAAGAAGTTCTAGATCTTTTAGTCGCATTTTGCATTTGTGGCTTTGTTGAAAAAGACAAGTATGTAGACATTTTATTTTCATTTGATGAGGTAAAATATAATTTTAATGGTGAAAATGTATAAGTCTCTTTACTTGGAAGTAGCAAGGGTCTTTCAATGCTTTCCATTATGTTTTTTAAATATAAAAAATGTTTGCTTTGTTGATCAATTAAAACTGACTGGAAAGTGCTAGGCCATCTTTGAGAATTTTTATAAACAAAGTTAACAACTTTATTTACATTTCTGTGCTTGGTAATTTCAGATGCTTCAAATTCGTTCATTTTGCTAAAGGTTATTTCTTCAGTATGTGTATTGATAATGGTTGTCTTCCCAGTTGAGTCATGTATGAGAGGCAGTGAAGCCCTCTTTTTGAAAGGATGTTTAAAGTCCATTTTCAGCTTCTTAGAATTTGTGGGTGTTGAAATTGATTCTTCATCATCATATAATGATGGATTTAAGAGTGATACTTCACTATCACTTGAAGAAAGATGTGGGGAATAATTGAAATCTGCATCCCTTTTATTGCAGTCACTGACATCAATCTTATCTATCAAATCATCTATGTGGGAATCAAGTGACTGATCACTTTCTTGTTGCGACATTTTTTGATCTATGTCAGCTCACAAGCAGTAACTCTAAACCATTGGTTGACCAAACTCCACCTGTGGGAAAAGAACTATTATGATATATTTTCACTGAAAATTGGATTTTAATTTATTCCCTCTTTGAAATATAAATGAACAAGTAATATCAGTAAGGTAACACTTGAATAAAAAAATATCCATAAAGACTTCAAACTATTTGGGAAATTTTAAACTCCCCCTCCCCCCAACTCATCATCACAAAATTTAGACACCCTCATAATAAAATCTTCAAAAATGTCTTAACCCTCTCCTCCTAGATAAGTGACATTATAAATAGATGGCCCCTTGGATGATATCAATTTAAACATCTTAGCATTTATTCTCATCCCTGAATTTATATTAAAAAAAAATTAATTATCTCTGAGCATTTAAATTTTAAACAAAAATTTTAAAAAGAACATTTATAATATGTATATATTTGTATATATATATATTTTCTTTGGAAAGATAGTTTTGATACTTTTTATTAAGGCTAATATGGGTGCAGTTTTTTACACCCTGTCTCGGTATTTTGAGACATAACCCAGTGGATCCAGGTGTTAGAAGAAAAAAGTTATTTTCTCATTAAGACTTTATTTCTACTCACATTTTCATCTTGTGGAGCATTATTATTTTAGTTTATTATTATTAGTGGTGGTTTTATATAGCGCGGTACCCCAGCCTAGGGCTGAGCTCACCAGACTGTACATACAATTTAACAAATACATGTATAATCATGAACTTAGAAAATTAAATACATTAATTAAATGTTTACTCATGTGAAATTTTAAAATTGAGTCTTTCTTGTGCAGTGTTCACCTGGTGAAATACTGGGGGGACAGAGTCTCAAATTTTTGTGGTTTACCGTGTCTGCTTCCATGAGTAAAAGGGTGGGTGGGGAGCTCAGATCTACTTTTTAGTTTTATGCCTAGTTAAAGAGTTATGCCACTTTAACAGGATTTTGGTAATAAAAATTAATAAAAGAACCACCAGACTGTAAAGCCCCTGGTACACCAAAGCACCCTTTATGGATGCCCTTGAACTATGTGATAATTCTATTCTAATATTCAAACCCCTTTTATACCACACATTGATATGTAGTTTCTTAAAGGGGCTTAACATGTATTTACATATATTTAAATAATATGAATTGGTTGCATTAAAGAGGGTGGAGGGGGAGGAAACAGTTGCTTCCAATATGATTTGGGGGGTTGCCCCCCCCCCTTCCACCCCCATGCCTTTTGAATTTTTTAAGGTAAAAATATTAACAATGGAAAAGAAATCAAAACATATAATTAAATGTATTCTTTTATTATATTTTTTAATTGGGTTGGGTGGGGGGTTAACATAATTTATATAGTAAACAATTAAATTAATGTTTCTTTCAGGCTTATAATTGATCTTCAACTGTCTAGCGTGGAACGAGACATGTTTTTTTTGTTTTTTTCTGGACAGCCGCTCTGCTAAACAATTTAAAACTTAAATAAAAATTATAAATTGTAGGCCTACTAACTTCATTTTCTGGGTAATAGTAGTTTTTTACCAATATTATTATTGAATAGTCAACGATGTTTTAAAACAAAAGCAATGTGATGACTGCATACTTTTGTATTGCTAATATCTATAGTATAGTGAAATCCCGAAATGAACATCAATGCCAATAGTCAACACCATGTGGCATGGCCCATGCCCATACACAGAATACAGGCATACAGGCAATACAGTACAAGTACAGCCTTTTAAGTTTAAGGTCCGCGGGGGGGGGGGGGGGGGGGGGGGGGGGGGGGGGTGGCTAGGGGACGGAGATGCCTTTCCCCACTCAGAGGGAGGAAGACGCCCCTGCACCGGGCCTAGGAATAGACTTAGTTTAGTTAGATTACTCAACAATGTGACAGACTCCTGAACTGTCATTTAAGCACCGAGTCCACAAGTCTATCTAGGCCTAGGACGCCTAGGTCTATCTAAACTAGTCTAAAGACTTGAAGACTAATTATCCAAGTCCAAGTGATTTTCTAATCTAATTTTGACCTCAATAAATAACTTACTGATATTTTTGGATGATTTAGGAATGACGTTTTCATTATCAACAACTTCTAAAGAAAGAAGAAGCACTCAATAATCTGCCAAGGACCAACACCGCAACAGTGGGGAATCCTAACTCTCTGCAGGTGCATCCAATAATAGCTTCAACAGCAGACGATAGTTATGTTGACTTTTTTACAGCACGTGAAAAAACTATTTTTAGTAACTAGTTTAAAATGGAAAAATATCGTAAATTTATTTATTTTAAAGATTATATATATATTTTTTTTTTTAATAAAAAAAATTAAACACATTTTAAAATGAATTCAAAATAACTTAAATATAGATAAAGAACACATGCTTCAAAATTATCAAAAATCTTTTCCTATCCATATTTGGAACACTTAACCCGGAAGTGTAATTATATCAAACTAATGGCTGACAACTAACTTCCAAGTAGGAAGTCGTCCCACAACTTTAGGGTAAATTTACGTCAGTTAACAAAATAAATTAATACAAAATATAGAAAGCCATCAAATTTAAAAATGTCGCAATATCACGTTTAATTTTTAAAAATTATTCATTGTGGTCTCTGAAAAAGAAAGCGATAGATGATTTAGCTTCCTTGTCTGTTGTTCATGTTGCCAGAGTCACAATCTGACAACATTGAAACAGAGAGTGGTGTGAGTTCAAGTTATGGTTGTGAGCCCCTTCATATCAATGGAGTCATTGAATCATTTGGTAATCTTGCATTTCAGGTATATTATTTCTGATCGAATTTTGTATTATCGCATGTAAACCTGCGTGTATTCTTCATTAAATTAAATCCAGGCAGTGATAGTGATAGATAACTAATATTAAATTATACATTATACTTATACAGCACTTATTTTCATTTTATTTCTAAAGCGTCTTTGAACATCCCCCTACCTGCCATAACTACATTGTTTTTTTTTATTTTTCACCATGTTGCCACTGTTGAGATTTTTTATCACAAACTATCAGTTAGTATCAGTTAAAGTTGGTATGCTAAATGAATTTTTCAAATTGTAGGCATGTTCAGAAAAAGAATAAAATTCGGGGGAGGGGGGCTGAACTTAATTAGATATTCCGTTATTTTATAATTTATAGGGGCCCAAAATTCTTTTTTGTTCTTATATGGGGTGTATAAATATAAGTCCAAACAAAGGCTCCTGCATGGGCATGGGTGAATGGAACGAGATCACACTTAGTACACATACACTTGATTATTTATATTCAAAAACCAGTACTGAAGGGTAATGAACTCATAAGATAATTTTAATTTTTCCTAACTAGCTAATATTTACTCCAATTTTATATAAATTTATTTTGTGAACATGATTTTAGTTTGAAAAGTTAAGCATCAATGAATAATTTTGGCATAATTTAATATAGGCAGTGTCTACACGCGCCGGACGTCTATCTCCCGCACTATGTGTCCGGCGACCAAGTCACATGACCGCCGTAACAAAGTGGCGAGAGATATCTTGTCGGTCAGCCTTGTCACGTGACTGCGAATAATTCAAAACTATTGTTAATTTTAAAATCTATTTCTCTACCAAGTAATGTACTGAGTATCTTGAATGCAAATACTTAAGTGAAAGTGGCTTGTAAACATTTTTGTTTAGTTTGTTATTTGAGTTTGTGTACCAGTAATCCATAAAATAAATTAGGGGCCAGTGTGGAGTAGGCGTAGGCAACCAATAAAAGTTAAAGTAAAAGATTTCATTTTAAATTATTTCAATTGCTACAAAATATGTAAAAACTTCTCATGAAACTACTGTTGCTGAGGAACATGTTAATATAAATATATACAAAATATTTTTAATTAAAATGGGTAGAAAAAAAACGACCCTATCCCCGGTATAGATCCTCAAACCTTCCTATCGTCAAGCAACCACTCTACCACAAGACCACACAAGATGTATTAAACCATACTTCGTTTGGAATTATAAAAACTACTAGTCGTCCGGCCATGTCCGGCGGTCACGTGACAAGCCGCCGGACGTATATCTTGCGCACTACATGTCCGGCGCGCGGACGTGTAGACACTTCGTTTAATATATATCTAATTTCTTGGTTTTTTTTGTTTTTTTTTTGTGAATATGCTTTCAGTTGAAAAATTGCAATCTGGGATGTGGAGTGAAATTTAAAAAATACAAGATAATGGAGAGATCATTTACTCTATCGGCTATGAACTAATGTGGGCTATAAAAATCAATAAAAAACAAAAAAGTTATTGCTGTACAATTTAGTGTTAGTGCTAACTAATACTGTCTGGACTAAATTTTATAATGAATAAACGTAAGATTACACGCCAAAATACGAAATTCGATCAGAAAAAATATAAGCACCAGAACTGCAAGATTACTGAATCATTTATTGACACAATAGACTAAATGTTTTTACAATTATTGTTTTGTACATGGCGTGATTGATACTTTTGTATTTGATTTTACCCTATGTTTAAAAACCACTCAACTGTACTGTGTGGTCAAAAGTTTTTTTTTAAAGAACAATAAGGAATAACTTATCCATCAGTGAGTTTCAGTGCTCATAGCGTAATAATAATAATATTGCTGACTTATGCCTAAACTATACCTTATACTCCAAAGGTAACTTCACATGATAAATTGTATTTATGCATAAACTTGCAGCCTTCAAAATAATTTAAATTAAATATTTAATTAATTATTTGTAGCCTAACCAGTGGCGTATCTAGGATTGGTGTCACCCAGTGCAGTAAACTCATGGTGTCACCCCCTCCCCTTTAGATACACAATGGATTTCTTAAAATAAGTACATAGTATTAGTATAACAATGTTTTTATGTATTTAGAATCGCCTGACCACAATTGGGTATTAATGGAAAGCTTTATTTCTCAAACTTTAGATAAATATAGCTTTCTGTCACTTATGAAAGTTACCCAACACTTCAATTGGCTCAATTGGCATTTAATCATGGTCAAAACAGTGTTTTTCTGACCTAATTATAGGGTCACCTCATCAGGGCCGGCCCTCCGGTTGCTGGCGCCTGGGTAAGCACTTAACTAGTGTGCCCCTTTTAATGGTAATCATACAATTTTTTGCAAGGAAAAAAACTAGGGGTTAGGTAAAGAGTTTATTACCTAGGTTGTTTTAAACAAAACAAAAAAAACAATGAACAGTAATATTGTTTTTCTGAACTTGTATTTGTACAGTATGAACAATTAGCCTACCAATGACATTTTTTTCTAACCTTTAGATCAGCAGCACTTACTTTTTTTTCTTCCATGGTGCCCACTTCCAATCCCTTTTTTTTATTTCGGAAGACGTTAATGGCCACCAAAACACATGGCGCCCCAGGCAACTGTCAGAGTTGCCAGTGCCTTGAGCCGGTCCTGCAACTCATTTCTGATGTATCAACCTTGAACTTTTAATAATTAGTGTGGAAAAATCTGCTTGTTATCAGTTACTTTTTTATGAATTTCTGTTAGACAGAGCAGTGTATGCTCAGTAAATATGGAATTTTCACTTTGCTGTCACCCCCTGAGATAATGTCACCTGGTGCGGTCCGCACCTTCCTAGCTACGCCACTGGGCCTAACTAAGTCTTCTCTACCTACTTGCTGTAACCACTGAATTTATTTGTATGCAAGCAACCAGCATTTTTTAAACTTGTGTAAATATGCATCATCATTATTTCAGTTTTATTAAGCTTTTTTAATTTTTTGGCTATCATTTCTTATTTATTTCAAGTGCACTTACTTCCATGTAACAAAAAAAAGTGGTTATAGAATAAATGATAATGAATCTGTTGCATAAATTATAACAGACAGTAGCAGAACAATTGAAGTGTGATCCTTGATTCTACTGTTATCTCTGAGTTCAACTCTTCTTTAGTGACTCCTGCTCATTAAACTCATTGGTGATTTCAGTAAGTATGCAGCTATGGGCTTAATTTATTAAACGTTATGTTCAAACCATGCAAACTATATTTAAAACTTAACTGCTTATTACAAATATTAATACAAATCTGCTTACATGCATTGCATTGGAGTTGAAATATTTTTCATCGTTAATTGTTTTATTTGTGCATTTTATTTAAAGGAAAATGGGAAATCTGCTGCGTATTCTACTCAATGCTGATCCATCTTCAAAACATTCAGAGAACATATTTGTAGATTTTGAAAGTAAGTCATGCTTGATTAAAGCCTAATTATTTTAAATACTAAAAAAAATATAAGTATTTACATATAGTCTAAATTTTAAAAAAAAAATGTATGCTTTCTTGTTTTGCTTTAGATGTGCAACCTACTGAGGCAGAACAACGTGTTTGGAAGTTAGTAAAGTCTGTGTTAGATTCAGCTCAAGAAGTTTTGATGGAACTGCAAAGATACACTGGCGCTACTGAAGAAATAAGAATGGTCAGTTGAACATTTTTAAAGAATCAGATTAAGTCTTAATTTACTCCTGGTCCCAGGGGATTATAGAGGATTAAAGGAAATTTCTCAGGAAAAAAGCTTAACACCCTGTTACCTAGAAGGAATCCATAGACAAATAAAACGAGTTTTAAAAAACATTTTACCCAACAGGCATCAAATATTCTTCATATTTCCCTGGCCAAATCCTTCATTCAGAACTTTCCTATATTATTTTTAGTGTTGAGAGTGGGGCGTGGTGGGTGATTCATAGAACACTAATAAAACTAATTACATAATAATATATGGTTTAACCCACTTGTGCCCAAAATTGTGTTAAAAACTAAAATTACTATTTAATTTTGAAAATAATAACTTGTTTTCACCACTAGAGGGTGTTTTAGTGCAATCCCTTGACAGTAGTGGTTCTCAACCTTCCTAATGCAGAGACCTTTTAATACAGTTCCTCATGTTGTGGTGACCCCCAACCATAAAATTAATTTTGTTGCTACTTCATAAATATGTGTTTTCTAATGGTCTTAGGCGACCCCTGTGTAAGATTAATTCAACCCCCAATGGGGTGGAAACCCACAGGTTAAGAACTGCTGTTCCACAGGGGCAAAAGGCACAACAGTGCCTTTTGCTATCACCAGAAAAATTCATGAACCAAATATTACAATGTATAACAACTAGGGAATCAGTTAAAGTTTGTATAATTTATAAAATGTATATATTTTTTACAAGAATATCTTTAAAAAACTATGTCATCAGTTTAGAGATAATGAAAAAATACACACTAAATTATATTAACATAAAAATATTAAAGAGTAAACCATCATGATGTAACACAACATAATCAATAGAACATGTACTTTTCTGACAGGAATTACAGATTCAAAATTGACACCCTTTAGCTATAATCTGCTCTCTCAAATGACCTTATTTAGTGTGAAAGGTAAAAAAGCATCGGTCATAAACTCCATCATTGCATTTGATGCAACACTGTCTACATTTCATTCTACTAGACGCACATCGTGCTGTTTTCAGTAGGATCAATATAATGATCAATGTGATCATTTTATATCTCAATGGGAATACACTTTTCTATAGCATCAGGGTTTCCACCCTCTTTCCTTGAATGAACTATTACGACCAGATCAGCCAAACTTTGGCAATCTCCTAGTTAAACAGCCAACAATTTCTTGGACTCTCTGCTATGTGGTGTAGCACTCCATAGATGCCAAGTTTAAAGAAAACAAACGTTCAAACTGTACAGCAAGATTGGACACCACCACTTTTTTTTTACTTTGTTGCACACCATCATACTTTAAAAAAGAAATGTTTTAAGCCCAGAAAATATTTTTTAGATCTTTCATTCAAAAGGCGCAGAAGTGGCCTGACTTCAGAAAATGTGTCATGCTTATCAAGACTGGTTTTGTCAGGAATATGTACATAGCACATTATCTCTTGTAAATTTACATTGCTAAGCATTCTTTTTTATTAACATTTCTTTAAAAACACACTTACTAAAAGATGATTGGTAAAAAAAAAGTTATGGTTCATCTTCTTTGTTCGGCAACTTTGCTGTTTCCCTTCCAAGTTTTTCAAAATGTTGCTTGGAGAAAGAGGAAGTACTAAAGGGAAAAATTCTGCTTAACTCTGTTTAAAGGCAGCAGCCTTCGTTAGTAAGTTTTGGGTCGCGTTCATTTAAATGTGCTAAGTACACTTGGTTATTGAGGAGAATGTGCAGTATTTATCGTAAGGGATACACACAAGGCAAATATCGGATGAGCTCAAAGGGTGGGGATATTTGGATATTTTTTGTTTCTGTTGAAATTGTAATACATTTTTGTTATAAACTGTTTCTAAAAAAAAATGGCCACTTTGGGAAGAAAAAAAATAACAAGGAAGGTTATCTAGGGGTACAGTATCACAATCAAGTGTGTTTGTCATAGGCTGTTGCTTATCAGTTACCAGTGAACACACAGAAGTTGATGTGGTCCTGTGAAAACAAAACAAAAAATTACCGTAAAACAAAATAGACAAGTTGTAAAAAAAAAAAAAAATATCTGATAACCCAAAATTAAAGTCTATGTCATTATGAAATCATAAGCTAATTCTGTTTGGCAAAACTATTTAAAAGCCTACATGCCAAAAACGAACAGTCACCGGTACTCACTGCATTGGTTAATTCCTTTTCAGGCCATTTCCAATCCAAAGATTGAGGACTTGCAAGACCGTGCATGGCAATCAGTCACACCACTTGTATCTAAGCTCAAAATGTTTTTTGAATTCTCTTTAAAACTGGGTAAGTGATTACAGCTTGGGGGGGGGGGGGGGCATTTTTGGGGGGAAATTTAAAAAAAAAAAAAAAAAAAAAACAGTTTACAAAAAATAAAATAACAAAATAGAGTGGATTTAGTTGTTAAAATTTGATGCCACTTTAGCGATTATACAGAACTGCTTTGTTCAATGTGGTTCAAGATTTAGAGACATAATTTAATGCCAATATGAATTAACTACCACAATTGGGACAATGGCATTTTATACAAGAGACTACTGCAAAGATTCTGATCAGTGGCAATCTAATTAGAGATAATGGCAGTGTGGGGCCAGGTGCTTTCCTTTAGCATATTTTAATTCAATCAGAAAATTCCTAAATATTTTTGTCCAACCTTTGCTATTTATTAAAGACATCGTTCAATACTAGCTTTCACACTTCACATGTAATTTCATAAATTTTGGGGGCAGCTGTTCAATCGAGCAAATATTACTCCTGTACTAATGTCTACCAAGTAATTTTAACCAGTTCAAATTAATAATGATTAAAAATCCTAATGACAGATTTTTCAGCCTACAAATAAAAATATATCCTTAGAATTATGTTGTATATCTGTATTGCATATGCATGATTACTTCTCCCTATATTCTTATACTATATGGAGATGCTGAAATGATATTATACCTTGTTCTGCTGTCCTGTCCTTATCAGAACAAGTCATTCCAGTACTTTTGGGGGAGCTTTGTTCTGAAGATCTAACACCCAGAGAACACTTGGAGCAGCAACAAGCTCTTTTCAAGCAGTTTGCTGAAATTCTTGACTTTGTACTGAAATTTGATGACCTGAAGGTAAAGCATGCAGATTTGTATAGGATTAGGTGACCTACATGGAAAGCATAGAATCAATTCCGTCCATTCATGTTAATTCTATTTAATTTGGATGTCCAGCATAAATCTAAAGCTTACTCCATTTAAAACATTAATTCAAGGAAAGTTTAAATAAATATATTATGCCGTCAATAATCCAAACGTCAAAAATCCATTTGCATCTCTAAAAATATCTAAAACATAACCAAAAAAAAAAAATCAAGGGAACCTCCATGACAATAACTGTTCACAAGTCATGTGCTAAATCGTGAGGTCAATATGGCATTCCAAAATCGGGATATGTCAATAATTTAAAAAATTAATTCAAGGAAAGTTTAAATAAATAAATTATGCCGTCAATAATCCAAACGTCAAAAATCCATTTGCATCTCTAAAAATATCTAAAACATAACCAAAAAAAAAAAAAATCAAGGGAACCTCCATGACAATAACTGTTCACAAGTCATGTGCTAAATCGTGAGGTCAATATGGCATTCCAAAATCGGGATATGTCAATAATAAGGACAGGGTCAAAGCACTGTTAGTTTGTAAATTGACATCTTAATGTCCTTAAAAAATATAGATCCTAAATTATTGTCACATCTCAATGTTAAAGCTAAAATTAGGGCACATACTCATATAAGACCTTAATTTGTTGTACAAATATATAACATTATAAATAAAACGTTCTTGTCATCCAAACTAAATGCTAATCTTACACCACATTTACCTACTTGAAGAATTTGGTTTGGGTAGGTCTACTTTTGAGTGTTCATAAAGACTATGCAAAGAAAGCAAAGCCAAATTTTTACATAATTAACAATATGATAGATCTGTGATGCCTAATGTTGATGTTGCATTTACTCTTCCTTACTTTTCTTTTCATTGTTTTTTTTTTCTTTTTTGGTGTAAGCCAAATCAATTATGGGAACTTAATAGGGTAACCTTTTGTCAGGCTCAATAAATAAAATATTTTACAGTCTCTGATAAACTTTTGAGCTGTCAGTCTTTTTTTTTTTTTTTTTTTTTTTTTAAATTGAAATAAAAATTACCTTTTTTTTTTTTTTTTTTTTTTTTTTTTTTTTTTTTTTTTTTTTTTTTTTTTTTTTTTTTTTTTAAATAGAAATAACAATTACCTTTTATTGAACAATATCTACAGATGACAACACCTGCCATACAGAATGACTTCAGTTACTACAGGAGAACTTTAAACCGCAGGAAACTAGCTAATGAGGTACTTTGTTAGCATTAAACTTTTTAAAATCATTTCTTGTAAAATTGTCATTGTTTATTTTTTTCATCATGTCTTCAAACCGAGTTGTTCTTAAGGTCTTTTTCTTTGTTGACTTTCTGAGCATAAGTATCTTAATCTTTTCATCTCTAGACCCTCGGTTGACATATCTGGGTCAACATTTTGATGAAACTCTATTAGGATTTATAATTATTGAATGTCTTATGGTTTTTTGGACAGATGTGTTAATCTGTCATGTCAGTATTAATTTTATTTATGACACTCTCAGTCCCAATATTTGAGGGACAACTAGATGCACAGCAACTTTGAATCAAATAAGAGAATCTCTCAAGTTGTACTAAAGTTATACATCATTGTATGTTATTGTTTCTGCTATGGCTTGATAATTAAAATATCCTTGCGTTTAAGAACCTGATGTAAATTTTGTTTCTCACAGAGGATATATTATTTTAATCTGTGTAACATTTTATGTACTTTAATTTTCATGATTGTGAATAATCAGCTGTAAGTGCAGTCATCTGCTTTAGAAAGTGCATCTATTTCATTAACATACATTAAGTCTGTGGCATAAATCTGTTAAGGATCATTGTAATTAAATTGCCACATCATTGTAGAATGAATTAATCATTTGGCAAACATGTATTCCCAACATGCTTCTCACTGAAAAACATGACTAAAGACTGGTTATTAGATAAAATGAGTGGATAATGTAATTTTTTTTTCTTTTTCAAATCATCCTTTCAAATTATTTTAATTTAATGGCATTTGCCATCATTCTGCTATGAGCATATTAATTTTTAAACATATTTAAAAACATTAAAAAATTGTTTTAAACTGCATCATTATTACTATTTTAAATGAGATTTATATTTGTTTTTATTATTATTTATGGTTATAAATTCAAAACTTAAACAAGGAAGTAAAATAAACAAAAACTGAAAAATTCGATTGTGTGTGGGGAAAAAAAATCAGCACTTCTCCCTTTTAATTTACATTTATATTTCCTGTCACCTGTTCTTTAGTTAAGAATTACCCTTTTTTTTTTTTTTGAAGATCCAGAACCTATTTTTGTCTCAACAGTCTATTTAAATATTTGGGTTTTCTAGACAAAGCTTTCAGACACTTGTGTTTACCCAAGCTCCTTATTCACTTGAGGATAACAGCATTCTTCTCAGAATGTGGAGTTTTCAAAGCTATTTTAGGGCTCAGTTCAAAGTGGGGGAAAAGCTTTTCTTACCAATCATGGGCACCAACCATCTAAAATGTAATGATAACAGAAATATAATGAAACGGTGGCTCTTAAGCTATTGAAGCGTAAGGACTGCTGCGCGCAAATGAAATCTTTGTGATAAATTTAAAATGCATAATACTTAATTATGTTTTTAAAATGGGAAGAAGAAATTACCGTATTTATTGGCGTTTAACACGCCCCGCATATACCACGCACATCAATTTAAGAAGGAAATTGCAGGGAAAAAAACTAAACATTATATCGGCGTATAACACGCACACATCATTTGCCTCCTATTTTCAGGGAGAAAAGTGTGTTTTATACGCCAATAAATACAATATATATATATATTTTTTTTTTATGATTTGATTTGTTTTTGCTTTTTTTAAAATGTAAGGATGAAATTCAAGATGGTGAAGAACATGTATCAAATGAACTAGCCAATAGGATGTCCTTATTTTATGCCCAAGCCACACCCATGCTGAAGTCTCTCAGCGATGTGACTGCAAAGTTTGTGTCACAAGTAAGTCTACGTTTCAAAAAGCATTCATAATATTTCAAAGACAAGTTGTTACAGAAGTCTGAGTAATTTCTGATTAAGTGAAGTCTTCAGCTTCAAATGATGGTGATACTAAGCTTGGATGGATCAAATAATACTATATTAATATGTTTATATTGGTTTATTTTAGAGTTGATAAAGAAATTAAATCTTAAATCAAGTTCCAGTTGACATTCTTATTCATAAAGAATGAAAAGATGGGCTCATTCAAAGCATACAGTGAAAACACTTTGAGAGGATTCTCTAATCGACAAATAAAAAAAAAATACCTCATTTCCCATTTCAGCATAAAGACCTTCCAGTAGAGCAGACCACAGATTGCCTGAGCATGATGGCCAACATTTGTCGTGTTATGATAGACAACCCGTAAGTGTCATTTACAACTAGACTTTATATCTAGCATAAATAAGTGACTGCAATTTTTTTTATTTAAATTTTTTTTTTTTTTTTTATGTTTTTGCTGTTGTTGTTTTTCTGTCTGCACGTACCGGGGAGTCGTAATGGGGAGGTACATTTGGCAATCTGTCGTTCAGTTGTTGATGAATTAATTTTTTCCTCCGTTTATGTTATATTGAGAAATTAGTTTCTGCTTCAGGCTTTCTGGGCCTGTTGTTGTGAGTGATGCAATCAGAGTTTTCCTTCTTCTTTGTTGCTAGTGTATGTTAAAGATTTTGATATTTTATTATAGGAATAATTTGCCTCAAAGAGACAAGATTTTTAGTGATAAGCAACAAAAAAAAATTAACGAAAAGTTTTAAAGTACCAAATCTATATTTATAATAAAATAATTCTATATTTAAAAAAAAAAATAATAATCCAGTTCATCAAACGGTACAACTACTAAAACAGTAATGCATCACTTCAATTAATAAAACATTAATGTAATACTACAATAATAAAACATTAATGTAATACTACAACACTAAAACATTAATGCATTTCTACAACTACTAAAAAATAATGCAATACTACTACTACTAAAACAGTAATGCATTACTACAATTAATAAAACATTAATGTAAATCCAATGGTTTTAGATAAGTTGTTGGGTAGAGAGTAAGCTCCTTCTTTTGTTTTTTTAATTATGGCATGGGCAAAAAGCTGATCGGTTATCCCAAAGACCCGGTTAGCTTTATAAATTGCTGTGTTCCATATTTTTTTCACCAGAGAGTACAAGCAGCGCATAAAGGAGGACACCCGACTCTTCTGTCTACGGGTGATGGTTGGGGTCATCATTCTTTATGATCATGTACATCCAGTAGGGGCTTTTGCTAAAACTTCAGGAATTGAGGTAAATTGAATTTCTTGAAGAATATCAAAATAATGGATACGAAAAAAATTTAGTTGGTATGAATTTAAAAATTTCTAGTCATAAAATGACTTCTGAATATGAATATGTTTCCCCCTTTGAATTCTAATAATGTTTTGTTTTTTTTTAAATCCAAGGACTTTAGTACAACCCTAATTTTCATAAAAATTCTAAATTTAAAATATATACCGAGAAAAATTCCCCCCCCCCCCCCCCCCATTTAGGACCAATGGATGCTGCATTTCCTCATTGATAGGAAGTTTCAAACTATATTTCCACTGTTGTCACATTAGTAATGAGGATTCTGACAGCAGTATCCTGGACAGTTAACTAATTTTGAGTTGACTGAATGACGCCCTATGGTATAAACTGTTCTTATGTACAAATCCATATCTCAGTTGCATTCATCACAAACACTACTACATTCCAGATGAAAGGATCCATCAAGCTTTTAAAGGATCAAGAAAGATCGAAAGTAGAGTCTTTACTGAATGCTTTGAGGTGAGTTTAATGACTTCCTTAGCTCAGCTGTTGGTGGGCTGTGGGGTCATTATGAGTCAATTCCAAAACTGGATTGGAGTTCAGTCCCCATCAAAAAAAAACCCCGACAAGAAATAAACGACACCAGCACCCTGGGTGGATGGGGCTTGTTAACCTTGGTTGGCTACTCACTGACACTGCAAAAATCCAGGCAACTCCTGTGGAATGCAGAAAGTGCACATTGGTCATCAACCACATCCAGGCCTATCTCCCGGTCATTGTGAATAAGTCTTTACACTGGATTCAGTAGGTAACTCTGACATACGGTTTACACCCTCTGCTAGGAATCTTGGTTATATTCTTTCTAACAACATGTCTCTCGATAAACACATCTCACATTTGTCGTTCAGCATGCACCACTATCCGTCAGATCAGCTCCATACGCCACTACCTCACAGTTAGCGCTACAAAAGCTCTAGTCTGTGCTCTTGTTTTCTATCGTCTTGACTATTGCAACTCTCTTCTGTCAGGTTCACCAAAACACTGCATAGAAAAACTGCCGAAAGTTCAAAACTCAGCTGCTAGGCTAGTTTTAAATGCAAAAAACGTGATCACGTCACTCCATTCCCTTCATTGGTTACCTATACAGGCACACATCGACTACAAGTTGTCTGTTCTCTGTCACAACTTTTTCTTGGATTCCTGCCCTTTCTATCTAACAGAACTTCAATTCTGTCTATTCACCCCTTCGACAGCTTCGCTCCTCTGCAGACACGCGTATTCTGTCCATTCCCAAGACACACACTAAAACATATGGTGAACGATCTTTCTCTTTCTGCGCCCCCAAACAATGGAATTCTTTGCCACTAAACATACACAATATACCAACCACCCTGGCCTTCAAAACTGCACTAAAAACATATCTTTTTAAATTATACTACCCTGACTGATTCCCCTCCTCTGACCGATAAATGATCTTGCTGGCTGCCGTCCATGGTTTGCCTTGTAAAAGTTATGTGGTGGGGTGGGTGAATATACATTACTGTTCTTTATTTCATAAATCTATTTTATTTTAATGTCATGATTATGTCTCTTTTGATAAAATAATTATGTACAGCGCGGTGAGCCCAGCCCTAGGCTGGGGTACCACGCTATATAAGACGTCTTATTATTATTATTATGAAATAGAGAGAGCAAGGTTGAACAATGGCGCAATAATAAGAAATAGGCAGAACAAAAGAAAATAAGGTTGAACAATGGCGAAATAGGCAGAACAAGAGAGAGTAAAGTTGAACTATGGCGCAATAATAAGAAATAGGCAGAAGAAGAGAGAGTAGGTTGAACAATTGGCGCAATAATAAGAAATAGGCAGAACAAGAGAGAGTAGGTTGAACAATTGGCGCAATAATAAGAAATAGGCAGAAGAAGAGAGAGTAGGTTGAACAATTGGCGCAATAATAAGAAATAGGCAGAACAAGAGAGAGTAAGGTTGGACAATGGGGCAATAATAAGAAATAGGCAGAACAAGAGAGAGTAAGGTTGAACAATGGTGCAATAATAAGAAATAGGCAGAACAAGAGAGAGTAAGGTTGAACAATGGGGCAATAATAAGAAATAGGCAGAACAAGAGAGAGTAATGTTGAACAATGGTGCAATAATAAGAAATAGGCAGAACAAGAGAGAGTAAGGTTGGACAATGGGGCAATAATAAGAAATAGGCAGAACAAGAGAGAGTAAGGTTGAACAATGGGGCAATAATAAGAAATAGGCAGAACAAGAGAGAGTAAGGTTGGACAATGGGGCAATAATAAGAAATAGGCAGAACAAGAGAGAGTAAGGTTGGACAATGGGGCAATAATAAGAAATAGGCAGAACAAGAGAGAGTAAGGTTGGACAATGGGGCAATAATAAGAAATAGGCAGAACAAGAGAGAGTAAGGTTGGACAATGGGGCAATAATAAGAAATAGGCAGAACAAGAGAGAGTAAGGTTGGACAATGGGGCAATAATAAGAAATAGGCAGAACAAGAGAGAGTAAGGTTGGACAATGGGGCAATAATAAGAAATAGGCAGAACAAGAGAGAGTAAGGTTGGACAATGGGGCAATAATAAGAAATAGGCAGAACAAGAGAGAGTAAGGTTGGACAATGGGGCAATAATAAGAAATAGGCAGAACAAGAGAGAGTAAGGTTGGACAATGGGGCAATAATAAGAAATAGGCAGAACAAGAGAGAGTAAGGTTGGACAATGGGGCAATAATAAGAAATAGGCAGAACAAGAGAGAGTAAGGTTGGACAATGGGGCAATAATAAGAAATAGGCAGAACAAGAGAGAGTAAGGTTGAACAATGGGGCAATAATAAGAAATAGGCAGAACAAGAGAGAGTAAGGTTGAACAATGGGGCAATAATAAGAAATAGGCAGAACAAGAGAGAGTAAGGTTAAACAATGGGGCAATAATAAGAAATAGGCAGAACAAGAGAGTAAGGTTGAACAATGGGGCAATAATAAGAAATAGGCAGAACAAGAGAGAGTAAGGTTGAACAATGGGGCAATAATAAGAAATAGGCAGAACAAGAGAGTAAGGTTGGACAATGGGGCAATAATAAGAAATAGGCAGAACAAGAGAGTAAGGTTGAACAATGGGGCAATAATAAGAAATAGGCAGAACAAGAGAGTAAGGTTGGACAATGAGGCAATAATAAGAAATAGGCAGAACAAGAGAGAGTAAGGTTGGACAATGGGGCAATAATAAGAAATAGGCAGAACAAGAGAGAGTAAGGTTGGACAATGGGGCAATAATAAGAAATAGGCAGAACAAGAGAGAGTAAGGTTGGACAATGGGGCAATAATAAGAAATAGGCAGAACAAGAGAGAGTAAGGTTGGACAATGGGGCAATAATAAGAAATAGGCAGAACAAGAGAGAGTAAGGTTGGACAATGGGGCAATAATAAGAAATAGGCAGAACAAGAGAGAGTAAGGTTGGACAATGGGGCAATAATAAGAAATAGGCAGAACAAGAGAGAGTAAGGTTGGACAATGGGGCAATAATAAGAAATAGGCAGAACAAGAGAGAGTAAGGTTGGACAATGGGGCAATAATAAGAAATAGGCAGAACAAGAGAGAGTAAGGTTGGACAATGGGGCAATAATAAGAAATAGGCAGAACAAGAGAGAGTAAGGTTGGACAATGGGGCAATAATAAGAAATAGGCAGAACAAGAGAGAGTAAGGTTGGACAATGGGGCAATAATAAGAAATAGGCAGAACAAGAGAGAGTAAGGTTGGACAATGGGGCAATAATAAGAAATAGGCAGAACAAGAGAGAGTAAGGTTGGACAATGGGGCAATAATAAGAAATAGGCAGAACAAGAGAGAGTAAGGTTGGACAATGGGGCAATAATAAGAAATAGGCAGAACAAGAGAGAGTAAGGTTGGACAATGGGGCAATAATAAGAAATAGGCAGAACAAGAGAGAGTAAGGTTGGACAATGGGGCAATAATAAGAAATAGGCAGAACAAGAGAGAGTAAGGTTGGACAATGGGGCAATAATAAGAAATAGGCAGAACAAGAGAGAGTAAGGTTGGACAATGGGGCAATAATAAGAAATAGGCAGAACAAGAGAGAGTAAGGTTGGACAATGGGGCAATAATAAGAAATAGGCAGAACAAGAGAGAGTAAGGTTGGACAATGGCACAATAATAAGAAATAGGCAGAACAAGAGAGAGTAAGGTTGAACAATGGGGCAATAATAAGAAATAGGCAGAACAAGAGAGAGTAAGGTTGAACAATGGGGCAATAATAAGAAATAGGCAGAACAAGAGAGAGTAAGGTTGAACAATGGCGCAATAATAAGAAATAGGCAGAACAAGAGAGAGTAAGGTTGAACAATGGGGCAATAATAAGAAATAGGCAGAACAAGAGAGAGTAAGGTTGAACAATGGGGCAATAATAATCACTTTCTGGTTCTTTAAGAAGTACAAACATTTCTTCTTGAGAAGCTGACATAAGCAGATGTTTAGTTGCCTTCATTCATTGGCACTGATAGGTGCCTGAGGTAAAAGTGAAGACATGATACTTCTGTCTGTCTTTTGCTCCCACTGAAGATGTCTGCAAGGTCTGGTTTACTTTTCTTCAGACCTTTTGCTATTGTTAAGTGTTGGGTCTCTTTAGGTCTTCCCAGGTTTTGTTTTTTCCCCATGGTATGTCCTGTGCAGTGAGCTGGGTGGTCTCCTTTAGACATATCTCCAGTGGTGCGCACATATCTCCAGTGGTGCCCTCATGTATTTCTATTCTCCATTATAGAAACTCTTTACTCTGTTGTTCTATTATTGGTATAACTAGAAATAACCCACCAATCTATGGCAGCGGAAACGTGTGAACTTCCCATCTACTGACTTGACAAAGCAAACATTCAAGTAGCACACTTTATAAGAATCCCAATTAGTGGTAACTTCTGGGAATTTTTGTAGTCTATTGAAACAAAAATTTTGTTTACAGGATACTTTTAAATTGTTATAGTTTGAATATTGCAAAACTGATTAGAAGGTTTTCCATATGCTAACAAATGAGAAGTACAATCTAATCTTAATACATTTCCATTTAATTGGAGCATAACATATCTTATACCAGTTGTAACATATGCAAGTGAAACTTGGACCCTAACGAAAACAACAGAAAACCAATTAAATACGTGGGGGAGAAAATGTCTCCAGATGATATATGGTCCAAAAAAATGGATGAATATGAATGGAGAATATAAACCAACCAGGAATTGTAAAGACTATATCAAGATGCCACGCTAGTAGCCTAAATAAAAGAACAAAGGCTATGGTGGGCTGGACATTAGAAAGAATGCCAAATGACAGGCATGAAGAAGGTGCACTGCCAAAACCCCAGAGAGTAACTGCTCAAAGGCTTAGATGGATGGATGTTGTGGAAAAAGATCTACATCAGCTGGGATTCCAACCATGAAAAAGAAAAGCATAAGTCAGGTCGGAATGGAAGGAAGTGGTGAGGCAGGTCAAAGCCCTATATGGGCTGTAGCGTCATAGTGATAGATAACATATCTTATAATTAAAATTTTAAAAAACAACACCTTATGCCAAATAATGAAATAGGTAGGACAACACTGAGGTAAGAAAACACTGAGGTAGGGCAATACTGAGGTAGGGCAGCACTGAGGTAGGAAAACACTAAGGTTGGGCAGCACTGAGGTAGGGCAGCACTGAGGTAGGGCACCTCTGAGGTAGGTCAGCACTGAGGCAGGATTTGAACAAAAAAACAGTTCAATCTGTGGAATTTATTATTTATTCTTGATCTATTTGAACAGTGAGCACATCTTTTTTATCCTGTGGACAAATGAGAGCATTTCATTCCCCAATTTCAGGTACACGACAAAACACCTGCAGGACGTCGCAACATCGAAAAACCTTAAAGCCATGTTGGCCGATTAACACTGCCTTGAGCCTACCGGATGCGTGCTGTGTGACTGAACCCAGAGCTGGATGCTTGAGTCCGGAGCCGATGTTGAGCTTTTTCCTGCTCTGAACCCCGGGCTGATTTGTCACGTTTGCCAGGCAAGATTTGATGTCTCCCCAACAGTTGTAATAAATTTGTCGTTTGATTTAATGCAGGGGAGAAAGAAAGGTGGGATTAGGAAGGTTGAGGGGGGGGGGGGGGGGGGGGGGGGGTTTTATTTCATGAAAAGAACAAACACTTGAAATCTTGGTTTCCATGGCAACTAGCGATGTTGCAGAATGAGCAGCTGATTATTATTGTTATTATTTTGTCCATTTTTTATTAATTTGTTAAGACTGTCTTTGTTGCTATGGGGCAGTTCTATGTTGGTGTTGACCATGAAGATTATCATGCAGTATCAGTTGGGGGAGTCTCCACATCATTTTTTTATCACTGCATGATATGCATGATTGGCCTGCGTCCAATGTCAAGGCCATGAGAGGTGAGCACCTGGGGATTAACAGGCTGTTCAGTGTTACTGGGAGAGGGGGGGGGGGGGAGAAAGTTATAAAACACTTTGCATCAGACAGTTGGCCACCCACTTTGCATCAGACAGTTGGCCACCAGATTTATAGCCAAATGATGATCACGGGTTGTGCTGACTAGCCAGCTCCAAATAAACTTTTTATTTTTTCAACAAAAGAAACTACCCAGACATTTAAATTAGTCACATGACAGTGCCACTTGTTATTTTATCAATTTGAGAGTATTTGAGCAATTTAAACATTGCTTACAAGAGCTCTTTTTCAGCATGATAAAAAAAAGTGCTCAGCCATGAGATGGAATGTAAGGGCATTTTGATGAGTGATCAATTTAACAACCAGTCGTTGACTCAGCCAATGGTCTAGTATTCAATGTTTTTTCCTGCCAGGTTACACCCTGCCACATTCTGCTTAGGGCTCATAAATCATTCAGAAGCTGTTCATTAGTTTATTTTAAAGAAGATGTAACTTCCAGGCTGCAACCCGTTTAACATGCGGGGGCAGGACTCTTTAATAAGTCAGGGTTTTGGGACAATCTCATCATGTTTTTTCTCCCCTCATCCCACCCCTCCCTCTTTGCTCTACATGACACCATGATATTGTTGGGGTTTTTTTGGTAACAGATTTTACTCTGAACAAAGCAACATTTATTTTATGCAGGGTGTTCTTTAAAATATTTTTTTTATTATTCTTACACAGCATTTGCACTATGCAAAGATAAGGACTACTTGGGCATGTGGCAAAGCTAAACCTGATATTTGTGTAGTATTGCTCAATGTAGAGGTCTATTGTACCAGATGTGTGATCAACTACTCATTCCCTAAACATTTTATTTAAAAAAAAGAACAACATTTTGTTTGCCGTTTACCAATTTTTATTTGTTTGTCACCTTTTCAAATATTCTGTTATAGCTTTGTGGGAAGAAACTTAAATTTGTTTCTCTTTGAGTTTCTCCCCCTTTTATCCTCCCATGTTATTTTGAACAAATTTTTGCTAGAATAGTCGATGCAGAACTTTATTGTAATGAATTCATTGGAGACAAATTTTGCTTTTCCATTCTTATCATTTTCACTGAATATCTTTGAACAGTTTTGTACATATTAATGGCATAAAATTTATCGAAAAAACTGCAGTCATGTCTTGTAAATAAAATGTAAAATTTTGCTTCCTTCGTACGTTTCACTTTTAGAGTTCTTACTTTAGTCTAAGGAATTACTCCTATGGTCACCTCTCTGCTTTCATTGTTCTTAACTGATATTTTAAAGTCATCTAAGATCTGCTTACAGATATATTTCAGATTTGCTTATTCTAATTAAAAGCAGCAGCAGTTTAAAAGAATAATTTTCAAATGATTTGTCATGAAAATCAAAAAAAAGGTTGTTAAAAAAATTAATTGAACATTGCCTCTTTTTTTTTTCCTGGTAAAGCATTTTGACCAAGTAATCTTAAAAAAATACTGATAAACATTGCAGATTTGTAAAATTTTATTGGATGGAATTTTTTTTTTAAAATTGATCCCTTGTATGTTCCACACCATGTTAAGATTAGTTGGATGGTGGCAGTGCTTGTAAAGTATGGTAACATTTTTTTTTTTTAGAAAACAAAAATTCTTTTTTTCGTAATTTCTACAACATATATTGTATACATAAGATGTAAATCAATTTTTTTTAACAGTTGGTTTCTTACAAATTTGATGTTATGTCTCTTGTAAAAATGAGCATATCCTTTACTACTGGTTAGAGCCAATCAGTTGCTACATCCCCTGGGGGCCGTGACCCGGACCACTCTATCCTTGCAGCAGTTACGACCAGTGAGTGCGCAACATTGGCAGTTTTCTCACTGCCCCCAGTGCATGTTCTCTCTCATCTGTCTGACACACATGTGCACTCAGTGATTCAGATTCTTCGAAGAAATGAAAATATTCTCTGTGAGATGAATGCGCTTCTTGTAAATATAATATACATATTTTTAAGAGTTGCAGATGTTTTTAAAGAAATAACAAAAAATTTCTCTAAGACTTATGCACCGCAGGTTTAAGCAGCACCTAGAAATGTTCCTTGTTTCTGTTTCCCTTTCTTTAAGCTCAATCTTCCTGAGGCATGGGCTCGGCGTGGCGTCAGTGATAGTCTCAAGTGTGATGAGTTTTGTTCTTGTTTTAGCATAATAAAATTGTTACGGTACCGAGATCTGTGTCATACGCCAAGGCTGTGATAGCCTGATCAATGTATTGAGCTGACGACTGTATACGATTCACACTTTCTCTAATCATTCCCAGGCTTACTGTTTGTAACCATCATTGCTACCTGGTACCACTCATTGTCACCTTGTACCATTTCATTGTCACCTTGTACCATTCATTGTCACCTTGTACCACTCATTGTCACCTGTACCATTCATTGTCACCTTGTACCATTCATTGTTACCTGGAACCATTCATTGTCACCTGGTACCATTCATTGTTACCTGGTACAACTCATTGTTACCTTGCACCATTCATTGTTACCTGGTATCATTTCATTGTTACCTGGTACAACTCATTGTTACCCTGTACCATTCATTGTTACCTGCTAACATTCATTGTTAACCCAGTGGCAGTTGTCAGCCTGTACCTCTACAGTTTTCTATAGTGATGTAAATAATATCTGCATGTTGTGGTTGTGAAGGTGTGACAGAAATACGCTTTGATGACCTGCGCTTGTTCAGATGCAATGGCGTAAAAGTTAAACTTGTTTTCATTATTTGAATGTAATCTTTGTAAGTTGACTGGACTAAGATTTGTGTAATCTTTTTAAGTTGAATGGACTAGGATTTGTGTAATCTTTGTATGTTGAATGGACTAGGATTTGTGTAATCTTTGTAAGTTGAATGGACTAGGATTTGTGTAATCTTTGTAAGTTGAATGGACTAGGATTTGTGTCTCCTATTTTCTTTTTATGTCTGAATTTTATTTATGCTATATTCAGTGTTGTTCAAAGTGGGATATTCCAATGATGGTGCCTAGGAGTGTATGGCTGTGGTACATGGTACTGTAGGGATGTGGTGCATAGGACTGTATGGCTGTGGCACGAGGGACTTTATGCCGTTTGTTTTAAAGAACTGTAAAACACTGTGCCAGCATCTCTAAATGGCAGCTTTCATGCAACAACTGATTTCTTTCCACCATGAATCTACATGTCAAATGTATCCAACCTGTCAGATGAGAAACCATGACATTATTCTCAGTGTAATTCGCTGACTTTTTGTTTACACAAAACCACAAGGGATGGCATTCAGCTGATCTCAGTGGTTTTTATGAACTCTCCGGGACTTTGCATCAAGCTCCATTGCTGTCTGTCTTATCCAGTCAATCATTAGGGTTAAGATCCAGTGCAATGTGCCTGCATGTTTTTTGCTCTAATTTGGCCAGGTCACCTACAATATAGTGCACTGTTCTGAAATACAAACTTTTAAAAGCAATAATAATAATAATAATAAAAAGCTTTTCAAAACATGTCATTTTCTTCTTAAGGATGAGCATTGTGGAAAAAGGGTTTCATCATTAAACAGTCATTGTTTTGGTCCCCTGTCTGTAGCTTGGCGTGTGTTTGTCATAGGAGACAGGGAAGGGTTGTACAAATATAATCAGGGTTGTTTTAATTGCTGAGAGCTAGTATATAAAACTGTAAGGATCTTTCTTTTTTTTTCTTTTAAACCACAGAAGCTTTAAAAATTGCGGTCTATGAATTTTGTTATTTAAAAATCATAGGTTTAATTATGTCAACTGTGGCAAAGTGTGTTCCTATTTTTTTTATTCTCTCCTTTTTTTCCACTAAAAATGATAATTAAACAAAAAAATTCAAATAAATGTTGCAGTCCATTTCTGTGGATGTGGCCATCTGATAACTGATGGGCCAATCAATGCTTGTTGTTGTAATGGCCATCTGATAACTGATGGGCCAATGCTTGTTGTTGTAATGGCCATCTGGAAGTCAGAGGATTGTGAACTTGTAATGACCATTGGATAAACCAAGTGACTGTGTTGTTGGAACAGTTGTGCTTTCTTTTAACAAAAAGTCTTTTTAAATTTTTTTTTATTAATATGCATAAAGAAAATTGTTTACATTTTGTGTCTTCATGTGATTTCTCATGTTGTAATATAATATGATTTTTAACCTTACTTTCATAATTCTGACATCATAAATTGCTATTTGTAATAAATTGCAATCTTCCAATTCATTACAAGAGATTGTTTTGAGCACAAAAGTCATGCATTATAACTTGTACAGATGAATTATTTTTTTATATGGTCATATGCCAAAGTCATATTTTTAAAACCCAATTGCACACTGTTCCACTTACCAGTAAAATTCAATAAGTGGAGGTCTCATGATAGCATATCATTAGGCCCCTCTTTGTGCGGGCTAGAGGCTGTGGGATCAAAATCTCTGACCAAAGTAAGTAAAGCAAAGCTAAATAAATATTTTTGCCCGTTCTACAGGCATTCCATTTCAATATACCAAAAATGTCAAGACTAACACCATCATTTTTCTGCATCAGCACTAAGAATGAAGTGTATTAGTGTGCCAGGGCATCCATGGGTTTCAGTTTGAGAAACCCAGCTTCAAACTATACAATATTTTCCTCACTACTAGCAAACACAGAGTCGTAACCAGCATCAATACT